TTTCGTATGCTGTCTGGATTGAAATATTGTCTCAGCTGGCAGGTCCATTCAATGGTGTTTTATCTTTTTTCGTTTATAAAGCTCTTAATTTAGCTCATGAATTTTCGTTGACCCTTATGTGTAGGTATCATTCTTTGGGAGTTTGAATTCCCACTGACCTCAAACATGTTTTTCATGTTTATAGTCGTCGAAAGAGAGCAGTTTATCACTTTTTTTGGATTCATCAGTTCTTACCTATTTACTTATTAATAGTTATTATTAGTTCACTGCCGAAGCACGAACCATGAACCTTAGGGTGGGAAGACAAAACCTTAATCCCTAGGGAATACGGGCGAAATCCAAAACTTTAAGCACATGCCTGCGAATTCGAAAAAATTGGGATCCGTGGATCAATGCTAAAGTATTTAACTCCACCGGAGTGTTTGAAATCCTCACGAGCTTTGAACGTTTTTAGTGGTACAGTTCTGTGCTGTTTACCAAGCACTTGAAATAAGTTTAGAATGTTTTCGATGCTCCATTGAAGGTTGTGATGTTCATTTTTCCCCAACTGGTTGGTTTTTTAATTTCAACGATGCAATCGACACAACACGTTTGTAATGAAAATTAAATCCTAAGACACCACAGAGTATGTGCGAATTTTCACTGATGGCGATTCGAAATCACGCATCGACGGAGGAAATGAAAAAGCCTATTCTTAAAACTTACTCTTGAAGGTTCCAAGGTGACTCACGAAAGCCATTTCACTCGCTGCCTCAAAATGTACTCTGCACGACTCAGTCATCAACCCAATGCACTGAAAACTGCTGTTCGCCACGGGGCCAAATTCCACTTGTTACTTCGAAACCTACCAGTTGATCCCATAAAGCCGTATTTATTTGATTCTGTCGAAGATACGAACTCTCACTCCAAAATTCTAGTCCATTCTGTTATGAGAGTAACAAAAAATCAAATAAGGTGTTTTCTACGGATGTTTTATACAACTAAGCGCAATCAAGAACGAAATGGAATTCACACAATAGAAAGTTGGCTAGAAAACAATGTAGAAATAGGAGACCAGGAGGAATAAAGTCAGTGTGAAGCATTGCGTTGAAAGCAATCAACCAAATTGGTGAAAATAAAAAAAACTGGATGGGAACAAGTGGCTCTGGGGCAGTACCACAAAGTCGAGTGGGTTGATGTTGCGTCGCGCACACATCATATCGACTTGGGTGCGTACTGCAGTTGTGTTGGCATTCACAAGCTGTGGCGGCAACAGATTGGCAGAATGTGAATGGAGAGGGGTCGGGTGGAAACGGTGCGATTTTCCGAGTTTGGACAAAAGTGCAAACAAGACAATGAGCTCGGACGGTGAAACAGTTGAATCGCATTTGCAGTGTAGTCGTAAACTATCACACGACCAATGAGATTGATTGACAGTGCAAGCAAAAAAAACAAACAAAAGAAGTACAGAAGTCACATGGTTTGGTTTGAGTCGAACCGCATGAAAAGGAGTTGAACCATGATTAGAAGAAATGAAACTTGTCTCTGAGCGGCGTCAATCTCGGATCAGTTGAAGTGTTGTGAAAGTGAGCGTGGGATGAGGAGAGTATTGCAATTAGACGATTCGATGCAAGGGATGAGACCGACAAACGAGAGCTGGTATAGCGTAGTGACATACAAGTTGGATCAGTACGCATTCGAGTTTTCCTCGGTGTGGGCATTTAGGTCGGCGCAATCAAAGCTGTGACGTCGGCGCAAGAACTGTGAATAGAATAGATTATAATCCGTTCAGTTTGTTGATAACAAGCTAACTGGATGTAGCCATTGCTGATATTTACCAAGTTATGGAACGAGAACAATCTTCACGGTGAAGATAATAATATTATCGGATGGAGATTAACTTCAATACGCGTTGTTTGAATCGGACAGCAAATAGGACGATAAGGGATCAAATGCACATATGGGAACAGTAGGACCATTAGTTGTTAGGGAAGTAAAGTCAAAAATGAAATTGTTATCATTACTGAAAACAATAGCGTTAAGTTGTTTAAACCGCTACAAGGAGTACGGACGGGTGGTTATTCAGTCACTATAGCGGGAGCCCGTGAGCCGTTACTCTATGGAATATGAAAATCCTGATTTGAATCGATCTTTGGCAGCAATGATATTCGTTGTGGAGTACAGCTTTCTTGATGGTGAAAATAAGCAGGAAAAGATCATGGAAAAGTACCGGAAGCGAAGTCGGTTATTGGGAAACAGAGACAAGATTGAACAAATCAGGTATTACAGCAGGGATCATCACCCAGCTCCCACCATTGATCTTAACACCGAAAGACGAGTACAAGTGGTCCTTAAATATTATAACGGACCTGATTAAAATGATAAAAAGAACCAATTACAGACTACTGGGTTTGCCCCTTGGGAAAATCATTCTACAAAAAGTACAAGAACGACAATGTGATGGTTCTCAGTCGGCTGAGGTACAAATAACTGGATATAATATATTGTCCTTGTTCGCATTTACATAACAACAACGGCGTCACTTGACTGGGTTCGATCTGCGATAACAACGAGACCACATACCACTAATACGAAGGACTGTTGCGCAAATACCGATCATCTGAGCGCAAAATGCACTTCATTAACCGTACTCATAACAAAAATCTAAGAAGGGCCGCTCCTCATTTAAATGAAGAATTCTACCTTTTGAATGTAATGAACTAAGAAGCACGCGTACAAGCAGATTCCGTAAACAGTTATGATAACGAGTGTTACGATTGGTAGCTACGAGCCTTAATATAAGCCAAACGGTACCATATCGTGTCAAATTCGTATGCAGTAGTAAACCCAAAGACCCTAGGTAAATGAGGTGAATAATTTATGATTTATCATGTGAAAAAAATCTTAAAGAATTGTATATCTATTACAAGTCAACAACGGATTGGGCCATGAAGGAAATTCTTGCACATTCACTTAATTCAGTCAACTCTGACGTGGCATGAGGGGCAGAATTCCGATTGGCATCTGAGTTATGATGAGAATTCGTCCTATGGGTGTAACGTAAAGTACCTATAAAAACAAGGGGTTCATCTCTTGGGTCAATGTACACAATCAACCGAGGTAAAAAATATCTCGAACTCGGGAATAACAGAATAGTTAGTGCCAGCGCTAGTTGTATAAAAACAGAAAAGGCGTCACGAGAAAAGAAAAAAATCAATAAACATACAGACTAACAAATTTTGAAGGATGCAAATGCGTGCAGTATGATAATCAAACATCAGTCCGAAGTAAAGGTACTAATAAACAACTTTAATTTCATAGCTATTCACATCATGGTGACGGGAGAGAGACAATTATTCCAAGACAAATAGTGAAACATAATTCAGTTCAGTTCTCACAACCGTTAACCACGCACTTTCATGCCCCAGTTTTGGTTGCCCAGTTGGATAAAATAGCAGAATGATGATTAGAATGTTGAGAGCAGATTTAACCGGAAGGTAGCGCATTTTCATAGACTGAAGTTACAATAATAATGAGTAGATGCATGAGCGCCACTGTTTGCGACACCCAGCCATATCGCTCAGTGTATCTAACCACCGGTGACCATGGTCTCTGGGTCTCCAGCCTGGGAGCCTAACGGGACCTATGTGAGCCAGTCTCCTGTTCAGGGTTTTCATACCCTCATGCCAGGTCTTACCTTGACCGCTTTCATTTTTCCCAACCGCTACCTACCTCGCCAAGCTTCGCTCGTCGTGGCAACCTATCTGTTGACATGCGTAACACATGCCCTAACCAGCGCAATTTATGGAGGTCGACTACCTATTCCAGTGGACGACCGCGATTACCTAAAACTCTACGCCTAACCTCAGCATGGCTCGTCCGGTTTCCCCATCAGACTCGTGCAATGCTACGTAGACGGCGGTGTTCGAACACCGACAGCCTATTTTTATTCTGTTCCTTTAATGGCCAAGTCTCTGCGTCGTAAAGCAGAACTGGCCGAACTGCTGCAGCATACACTCGACCCTTCACAGACAACCGAATGTCGCGACGGCGCCACAGATGTCTCAAGTTGGCAAATGCCAACCGAGCTTTCTGTATGCGCGCCGACACTTCATCTGTGATGCGTCCGGCAGGTGAGATATAGCTGCCCAGAGAGCAAAACTTGTCTACTTTCTCTACAACTTCCCCAGTGAGGGTGAGACTGGGTGCAGGATCAACCCAATCTTGGAGTTCGAAAAGGAACCCATCCCGAAAAATGAAACTCGAGGAGATCATGGAACCGAATAAAAACAAGCAAGGCGAAAACTGCAGCAAGGTTTACTATCTACCGTATAGAAGCGTTCGCCAAACAAACGATCGTCAGCCAGGGTTTCCCACTAAGATTCGCATTTTCACTAAGGTCTGAATCTTCCAATGACAAAGTCACTGGTGGCACCAAATTGGAAACACCTTAAATGTTATTGATTATAAAAATATTTTGGTAACCAGGGCGAACATAACGTTTGGAGCCAGCTCAGAGATTGGTATCACTCTGTGTATAATAATACGCTTACTGATGTTTTAACTCGTACGAGGGGATACGTAACGAGATAAAGCACCGAGAAAGAATGAAGAACATTTCGTTATCCACAACTAATCAGATATCGGCTATTGGTAGTGATTTAACAACAATAAACCGTATATGAATAAAAAAGAAATACAAAGAGCGTTCTTTGTAAGATATTCTTCTCATTTGATAGAGGGATTTACTCTGTTATATTACACTGAGCGCCGAGTTACAAAGTTTTTCTTCGTTTAAAATTACGAATTATGGAGTATTCATCCAATATCCTATTCCGTTCATCAACTCCAAATAGTATTTGCTCCACAATGCATTTCGCTTGAAAGAATCATCAAATGGAATCCGTGGCTAAGATATCCAGGGTAAACTTACGGAGTAGCTGGAGTAACTCTAAGTTCCAGGGGGTGTAGAATTCTGATGAGGGATAAAGCGCAAGAGAAATCACTCAAGACAATGTCCAATTGTTCACAGAACACAATAGCCACAAGAGGCGTGAATTCAGTGCAGTTGAATATCCAAGTGCATATTGAAGCTTGGCCAGGGGATTGAAAAACGGTATCCCCTAAAACCACATATATTGTTTAAATGCCTTTTGAAGCGAAATCGAATCCAACTTGGAGTGGACAGTATATTATACTGAATTCACCGTCCAAATGGAAATTAGCGCATAACATCCCTATTCATTATAAGTAACTCTAAACGATTTGTAACGCACCGCCGCAGAGTGGTGTTACTTGACTATCATTACTCATCATGTGGAATAAAGCACAGTGAAAAAAACTGTGTGCAACCAAATACCGCTCTTCAAGTAAAAGTCGCATTCCCTTAAATTCATTCTTGGGTTTCGCATTCAAGAAATGTGGATTTAATTTCTTGTAGGTATTAGTTAATATGGATGATCCAAGCAAAAGGTCCTGAATGTCTTATCAACTGCTTCAAAATATTCTCAATAAAGATAGGAGTGTTCTGGGGATTTCTGAAATTCCGGGGCAAACTGGATGACGTAGGAATCCAACTCCCAAGTAGTGAGCACTGATAATGTGTTAAAACTAGAATGGAAATAAAATGAGTAAGTTTCGTTATTTTTCAAGGCGAATTGTTGATTGCGAATGAGCACTTACGCTGAGAGAATTGCGCTCATGTTCCGACAGTGGAGGAAGCATTGCAATGGCCTGAATAACATCCGATCTAGTCAGAGGTGTTGTTAGATCTTCCAAAGGTTCCGCTATGGACGAAAGTAGTGCAGTATCGTCTTGATTGATTGATCGCCTACTCGATTCCGGCTCTTCCTCGTTTTCAGATTCCGATGAAACATCTGACATATTCTTCTTATTGGAGCCCAATCGGGGGCTAGACTGCATTGGTACGTCCCCGTCAGTGAACAGATCCCTAGGCAAAGTATGCACACTGGCTGTACGTATGACGGGAGGCCAAGTGCCAGCTAGTTTATCCAACTCTTCGCGAATTTCCTCGTAGGCCTTTGACTTCCGGAAGCTGATATCATTGAGTGGAAAACAAGTGTCCGTTAAATTGCATCTTTTGAGAAACTAATAAATGGTTCATGCGCCAGAAGGTAACACGCAATGGGTTTGTGGTATGCGAATAATTCATAGATAAATGAACTTAGGGGGAAAAGTTTCTAATAGTCCCCGGACGACAGACCGGAGACTACTTTGAACGTAGTCCATTCCGGATCTACAAACCTATTATCAATAAGTGCATTCCACTCTATTAGTTTAACAGGGATTTTCACAAAGTAACTATGAATAATAACGAAGTGAACAATGCGTCTTACCCGGTACAGTCATAGCACGGATGAAGTCAATTTCATAAAGGGACCAACTAACAATTTTCGAAGCAAACCGCACATTGAACTCACATCCAGAAAGTCATCGGTTAAGCATAGTTTGTGATTACCAGGTGAAAAGAGGTGACGCACGCAGCTAATTGGTAGGTTGAACTGGAAAGAGTACACCCAAAGGTAGTACGCCTTTGATAAGAATCATTCGCATGAAGGCAAAAAAACTTTTCAAAGGTAACAGTCTACTAAATGGCTGATAGATCATGGCCAGGTCTAGCTGATGATGACTCTTAGGACCACCTTCAGAAGAAAATCGATAGAATTCAACACGCGATGACGGATTCATAACAAGAATGCATCGTTTACAAATGACAAAAACAGGGCCAGGGTGAAACAGGGAGCGAGCGGACAAATCGGTGTCAAAAGCAGTAATGAATGGTGCTGAACTAACCAAAACATTTCGAGGAATCATCACCATCTTTTTATTTCCTCAGGATTTGCTACAATTACAAACGGTCAATAAGGGAGCTACTTCGTTTAAAAGGACACGTTAACACTTTTATAAAGGCATACGACTGCATACAGACTGATAAACGAAAAAACACTTGATCAATGAGTATTGAGGATAGGCACAAGAATGGTGCTTTACAGGGGGCTAAAAAAGGAAAATTAGAAAATAATTCTTCGTAAAAATCGAATAATAAAACCACCGACAGCATATTTGATATCGAGAACAATCAAGCACATTAGGATATCAAAATTGAATCATTCCATGAGTTCGTTGACAACAGACCATGGTTGAACATTCGAATTTCCAAAGAAGAGCAGAAAAATGTTTAAAAAAACAAAGTGATGGTAGTCATTACGAATTTATTTTACAGAAAAAGAATGGTAAACTCTAACTAAATGTGGTTCATTGTCAGCCCTAAGGAGTACAGGAGTAAAATAAAGCAAGTAACAGAGAAGTTATATATTGGCTTTGTACTACTTCTAGAACCATCACCAGCATAGTCGAATTTCATTACATAACTATAGATAGGTTGCTGTGAACGACTTATCCGACCATTCGCATTGGTTGACAAAACAGAACTAGACAACAGACCCCCAATACACCCGCACAGAAGTATTGATGCGTAATACTACACACCAATTCGCAACATCAAAATCGAAATGACTGCGGAAATCTACCGAGTTAAAAAAATGTGGAATAAACTCACAATGATCAAAAAGACTGTATTTTGATCTCACAAAGAAAGTGGGCTTTTAAAACACAGTTGAGAACTCATTTAACGAGCGTTCGTGTTTTCGAAATAGGAATAATATCACACTTAGATGGAAACAGTTCGCAGGGCCGTCAACTAGACTTAATTGTAAAAACCAAGCCGAAAACCTGCTCGTCTGGTAACAAGTCAGAATTGACGTTAGGGAGTGCAACAGAAAGTTTAATTGTCTTGAAATAAAATCCGAAAAGGATCTCGAGCATATTGCAAAACAATTTTTTATATTTCTCCTTTACGGATACTCAAGCTCTTTTAATCGGCCATTCTCCTCGTGAGTGTGCATGAACCGTTATCTTTCATATACACCACAATCATATCCATTAGATGCTATTCTGTGGTCCTATCAAAAATTTCATACCAGCAGAAAATCATTGTGCCGTGAATGTTCATCACATACACACATTGTGCACGACAGGACAGAGTAAAAGAGCGCATATTCCCTTCTACATTCTAAAATTATCCGATAAAAGCTATTACTTCGGTACCACCCTCGAAGAGTTCAACAATGGAAATTGCTTACTGGAAGCCTGTTGCCCACCAATTTTCGAGGTGATCAACATAAACGGAGTATGAGGAGATATAAAAAGCACTCCCCGTTTTCTTCATATAACGAAAATTACCGGTAAACGTGTATCCCTTTGGATTTGTACAGATACTCACCCCGGGCACAGACTACGGCGAACAGTGAATAGCAGTCGGCGGAACGCCATTCCGTTGATACCCCATTCGAGCACGTAGCAAAGTAGAAAGTTGGCTAACACAACCAGATGAAGCAACAGCAGAAATCCAATCGAAGGTATCCGCACCACCTAGCACCAAAAGGAACAATTTATGGATGCAAGTTAACACCAGCAAATTTATTTAGGAAATATACCTACCTCGCATGAGTAGACCTATATGATTGTGAAGTCCTAAATGGGAATAATCAGGAGAGAATCACTCAGTACACCAAATTACTCGCGTACTTACTTCGAGGGACTGCAATAACCACGAACAAGGATAAGTGGTTATATATATTGTGACGACGGTGCACACAACCAAATTTGCAATGAACATATCTGAAATGAATATGAAGCAGAAAGAAGATGGATAAGAAAAGCGTGAGTAATCACCTCTCATGCCTGCTGTATGTCAGTATTTATCAAAAGTCCAATCTTCAAAACCACAGACCAGTCTATTAATTCGAAGGTCATCTATTATTCTAACAAACTTACTCTAGACGCACTTCTGAAAAGTACATGTGCCATACGGGCTTCCACCCAAGATCCCCACTACTGTGTTCTCCGGTCGTAAGCCATGATTATCCAATATTCAACGCAAGACCGCTGCAATATATATGTTTTTTACCCGACATCTGTCCTTCGTTGACCTTGTCCCATGGGGAGCATGTCTCACGTGATTAGTCAGCATGCACTTTTAACAATTATTTTGTACGTCACAATCGTATGCATATAAAAAGTAGGATCCTAAATAGGAGAAAATAATGGGCTAATAGTATGTGATTTTGCTAACGATGAAAACGCGCTTTGAGGTGAGAGACGGTAAATTGTATAAGTGATGACAGAAGCTAAACGAAATCAACCGCATTTAGCAAAAAAGCCAAAAACAGTAGCAATGCAGGTTATGAACCTACAAGTGTATCTGTACTTGTTTATTATTATTATTATCTTCATTTATACAACTGTGCAAACGAGGAACGCAGATCAGCAGCCAGTCAGTCAGTCACTGAATTCGGTCACTACCGTGCTCAACATCAAGGCAATCAACCCTCAAGCAGTCAGACGGCTTACAGCGGTCTAGGTATAAGCTGTGCGCCGAAGAATTCACGGTAAAAAAGCATCCTTAGGACAAACAAATCCATATATAATTAGTTTGCGGGCGCAATACTGCCAAATTATCGTCACGATAGGTGATTTCCTAGGAGATTTATAACCAGGGTTAGCAAATAAATGAATCCAAACCCACACGAGAAATTATAGTACGAAGACAGTAATTTACTGACAATCATTGAATCATCAGATGAACAATAAGCTAGTGCGATATTCCAAAAACCGTAACCAAAATAAATCTCCCAGAAATATCGCGCTCAAAATTTAATTAATGACGAAGATAGTAAAAACTGAGACGACATTAGTTGGGAAATTCGCATGATCTATCATAGGGGATCGAAAGAAAGGTGGAATTGTGTACTATATAGAGGACTCCGTTTCAGTTTGCGAGAAGCCTAAAGCCTGATGTTCAGAATGCACAATGGTACTCAAAGTATGCTGTTGAGCCGAAATAGAGAAGCATTTTCTCGTCCAGAAGAACGTAGCTATTTACGAATTAGGTAGGATAAAATCCAGCAAACACAGAAAGTTCATTCGTATGGGAACGCATTTTCGCCAAAGATGGAATCTAAATGGATTGCCAAGTATTGCACCTATCAGACCGACTTTTCTTGTCCTGAGTGAGTTTACCCACGATTCGATGCAAGCTTTTTAAACGATTCACCGATTATTTAGAGCAAATATAACAAACAATAAGACATGAGCGTTCTGGACCGAAAACTTCCAAGTGAATAAAAAAAACGAATGACGGAGATCAAGCCGTATCAACAAACTTTTCCGTAGCCTATCTACATTGATCACCAAGCGCGAAAAATAAATTCGAACCGGAAATGAGACTGAGTAAACAAACCTAAAGGATTGCGCTATGTTTCAAAAGTAATCAAGAACATCATATTCCCGTAAATCAAGGTTTGACGAGGCTGTTTTCTGCACATCTGATGGATGCAGAAAGGCCAGATTTTTTTATTATAACAATCAATGAAAGCAAAAATGATTCACAAAACACAATCTTATTCGAATTCTTCATTGTTTTGTAGTAAACGAAAACAAAAAAGGAATCACAAATATTGCATTCACTACATCGCAAAAGTAGTGGGTGGAGAGCGAAGTAAAAAAAGTAGTGGATGATAAGAAACTGACTCACAATTAGAGACAATGGAACGCCGATACGGTGCACCCCTGGCAAACACGATTGCCAGTGATATATACTGGTATACTGCCACGATGAAAATCACCGTGCCTTCGTAATTTGCGAATTCGTATTTGTGATCAATTTGATAGAGAGGTAAATACCTTCAATGAACCAATAGGGTAAGATAATAACAAATTAAGGCTTCTCGAAGAAAAACATGATATTCAGATACTAATTACAAGATGGTTTGCTCCCAAGCGGAACAGAAACGACCATCGCGATGTGAATTGTTTACTATGAAAAATAGTGCTATTTAATTGAATATGGAAACAAATATATGTTGGGTACCACTTAGGACACTAATTAATCACCCAAGTCATTCGACAGAAAGCTAGTTGTGCTTCCTGTTTTACGCCACCTCCACCCACCTCCCCGTCCCCTCGTCGAGGCAAAACACAGTTAAAGAAAAAGATAATAAGCAGCCCGAGGGGAGTTATTTTTCTGTACTCATACTGAACAAGTGCGGCGAAAAATCATCAAATCCATCATTTTAAGCGACGCATAGCAGAGTATTGAAAATCCGCAGTAGTGATCCAAAGGACCATTAATTGTTAAAAAATTGTATCAGGAGATTAGATTGGACACTCGCACCTTTCGCAAAAATTGAACTACTTTTGCATGGCTTTCCAGCATCTTCCGAATGTACTTCAGCAGCATTTTGAAAATGCTGAAAACGAAACACTACCGAGTCTCCATTATTTCATTTTCTGAGCACATTCGCCAACAAAACGACAAAAGTCAATTATTAAATGAACGCAAGAATCGTAACTTTAGCACATCAATAGAGTAGATGGTTGAACTGCTAAAAATTGAATTAATTTTTAGAGAGACGCCGGGAATTATTTGGCGTTGTTACATCTCAAAGATTTTTATGAGAGATTATATCTTTTTCGTTGTCCGAATAGTCTACGGGTATGCACTGAGCAAAAATGCACCGGACGGTATATTTTTCCGACGTTGTTCTGCTCTACTGATGGTCGCGAGAACTGAATAATCATTAATATTACAAAGCCCGTTTAAAAGACAAGCGAAATTCACTAAGCTCAATTTGCCATTGATCCTCAAACGTGAAAATGGAAATTTTCGCGCAAACAACAGGATCCACAGAAGAGGATAGTGCTCTCGGAGTGGAAAACAACATGATTTACTTTTGCCCATGACATATTCATGACTAAATTACAGAATGATCAATGGATTTGAACAAAACATTCTCTTGTATGCCGGCATTTGTGGCACAGTCGCGACAATCCGGCTGTCTGTGAAGAGTCGAGTGTATGCTGCAGCAGTTCGGCCAGTCCTGGTCTACAGTGCAGAGACTTGGCCACTAAGGGAACAGGATAAAAATAGATTGACGGTGTTCGAACACAGCTGTCTACGTAGCATTGCACGTGTCTGGTGGGGTAACCGGACTAACAATGCTGATGTTAAGCGTAGAGTTTTAGGCAGTCGCGGTCGTCCACTGGAACAAGTGATCGACCTCCGTAGATTACGCTGGTTGGGACATGTGTTACGTATGTTGCCAGATAGGTTGCCG